GCTCCTCAAAGGGTTTTCTTGCTTCGGCGTCCCTTTTTCGGGGCTACGTAAGAACAAGTACCGGACATTTTTTTTGGGGGGGGGGGGAAGGGGGGGGGCAATGTCTACAAAATAACAGTCTGCCAAATTATTAAACACTGGAGTTAGCATTACTGGGCGCAGTAAGCGCTCGGGTGCACTGCACTTAGGGGCAATGATTAAACATATGGCAATGATAGATACAAGGATAAATGACATGAGATTAAATTCAGGGTATTAGTTAGAATCTTTTTTTCAAACATGAGCGACTCGGTCACCCACTAGCTCGCCAGTAGACGACTTTGTCTCTGGTTGGGACAGTATTTGGGTCTGTCTCCTTTGATAGCATCAACACCTTTTCAGGGCCTTTGGTAGCGTGCATTGCTAAGCCATTTTGTATGGCACATATAACATAGTCACACTTATATACTAAAGCTACACCCTTCCGCGATGCTAGTTGAACGTGAAGATTTTTCCCCAAACAAAGCACCAAGAATCTCTTTTCAATATTTTTGCTGATAATATTATGCGTAATTAGTGATGACGCTTCTGAAAGCCGCGGCGTCCGTGGCTTAGGCGTTGCGAGTCCGACTCGTAACCCAGCATACCGCGATCGAAACCCACTGCTGGCTGCGTGGATTTTAAAAATGGTATGGGGCGTCGCAGGTCGACCCAGCCTAAAATGGGTACCAGGATGGGCTGTCCTGGGAAGTAAAGACAGCCGGCGTAATGCTGACCACATTACCCACCGAGTGCTGATGGTCTGTAAAAATATGGGCGCTCTTCCCAAATGCCCGATACGCCTAAAGGCGTGGAAAGGGATCTTTACTTTACTTTTTTTTTTTTAAACTTGTGAAAGCTTCCTACCACTCACCATTGGAGGCAAACCTATCACAGAACACAGATATGTAGATTTGGTTAAACCAGTGTCTCAGTTTAGACCCTGAGCGCTATCATTTTATTGGAGGTGCTGGGGGCAGTCATTTGGTTACCCTCCCCATCACACACACACACACGCGCGTGCGCACACACACACACACATACACGCACGTACACACACACATCCACACACTGTCTGGATCCGTTAACAGATCAAGGAAGATGACAGCTAAATGTAACTTTTACATATTACTGAAAGACCATAAATATAGTAAGTATTGAGTGTCAGGGTGCACAATGAGGTCCTGATTGTACGGATAAATACACTTGAACATTAGTCAGGCACAAAAACGCACATCACTATATCGTTTTACAAATATACACAGTAGTCTGACAGGGATACTCAGTGCTATACTGTTTTACAGATGTAAGCAGTAGTCGGCCAGCAATGCACAGTGTTGTACTGTTTTACAGTAGTCAGACAGGGATACTCAGTGCTATACTGTTTTACAGATGTAAGCAGTAGTCGGCCAGCAATGCACAGTGTTGTACTGTTTTACAGTAGTCAGACAGGGATACTCAGTGCTATACTGTTTTACAGATGTAAGCAGTAGTCGGCCAGCAATGCACAGTGTTTGTACTGTTTTACAGTAGTCAGACAGGGATACTCAGTGCTATACTGTTTTACAGATGTAAGCAGTAGTCGGCCAGCAATGCACAGTGTTGTACTGTTTTACAGTAGTCAGACAGGGATACTCAGTGCTATACTGTTTTACAGATGTAAGCAGTAGTCGGCCAGCAATGCACAGTGTTGTACTGTTTTACAGTAGTCAGACAGGGATACTCAGTGCTATACTGTTTTACAGATGTAAGCAGTAGTCGGCCAGCAATGCACAGTGTTGTACTGTTTTACAGTAGTCTGACAGGGATACTCAGTGCTATACTGTTTTACAGATGTAAGCAGTAGTCGGCCAGCAATGCACAGTGTTGTACTGTTTTACAGTAGTCAGACAGGAATACTCAGTGCTTTACTGTTTTACATAAATTTGCAGTAGTCAGCCAGCAATGAACAGTGTTGTACTGTTTTACAGACACACGCATTAGTCAATCATGGGGCAACATGAAACAGATCAAAAGGCATAGTCATGTGTCTTTTATGCGTTTTAAACTGCACAGAAAACGTATAGACCCATAATATTATACAGTGACATGCACTCAAAAGGTTGGGATGTTTATATGGCAGCACAAACCCTTGCCGTTTATACCAACAATCACTATCAGCCTAGGACCAAAGCCAGTCATTCCATATGCACTGTTCTACCGGGGCCTCACTCTAATGGATACAAATCATTTCCGAGGCTCAAACAATCTGATGACCATGGCACTGGACAAGAGTTAATCCAGTCTTTCAGATTATTCACTAGCCAACCAGTCACTTTATGTCAGTTTTCAGTGTACAGAATAGAATAACTTTGCAAACTCAACTATGTCCACGCAAGCTAATTTCAGCCAGGTCATCGACAACACAGCAGTACTGAAAATATACCAATGTCCTAAATGTCGCTGAGATATTAAAAAAGACAACGACTACATGATCTCGGGGGTGAAGCACGTCGGTGCCGTCCTCAAGATCAAGACAGAAGACACTGTAACGAACTTCTCATGGGAACAATCAGTAGAGGACTTTGGAGTGACTGCTGCATCCGAGGACTGAGCATGCATTCGAATGCCCAGTGTGCAGTGACGTCGACTGCGATAACATAACATACAAAAGAGCAGCTTGGCTGGTCAACTGTTTGGTTTTCATGCACACAGATACCCCAGTGAGTGTTCCAGTCTCACCCACTGATAACACTAGGAAAGTCTCAGTATAGGGCTCGTACTCTGTAACCTCCATGCACTACATCGCACATGCTAAAAACATTATTTCAGAATGTCAAAACAAGTGCACCGTGAAAGAACACACACGAACATAGAACACCTCCAAGCAATACTGAGTTGCTGTTCTTACTGCGCAAGAACCGCACCAGAAAGCTCATATTGTGAATGAAACAGCACCAAACAATTTCCTTTGAAGCAGCTGGAGCACACTGCACCCTGGGTGTCTAAAAACAAGCCTGGCGACTTTGTATATGTTTACGTTTTTATTTATATATTATTAGGTTTTACTCTTTCTTGTTTGCATTCTATAGGATTAACATCTCAAGAATGAGAATCACACAGACACAATGCCCTACAGCCACATAGGACAGTTATATGGGGGCACCACAAAACACTTACGAAGTAACCTGTAGTCCAGTGTGGGTGGGTGGGTCTAAACGTTTGACCTGGCTAACATAGAGGTCTGATCAATGTCATCTTGGAGTCAAACTGCGTCAGTGATTACGTTGTAAAGCTGATCCAGGGCAGTCATTACACTGGTCTATTTTTCGTTCCATTTTATATCTTTCCTTGATATATATATATATATATATATATATATATATATATATATATATATATATATATATATATATATATATATATATATATATATATATATATATGTATGTATATATATATATGTATGTATATATATATATATATATATATATATATATATATATATATATATATATATATATATATATATATATATATATAGGCATATTTGTATATATTATTAAATATTTAGGCAGTAATGTAGATAAAGATGGAGGTACTGATAGAGATATTAAAATAAGAATACAAAAGGCAAGAGGGGCTTTCATAGCACTAGGGAATTTGTGGAGGTCAAAAGAAATTAAAAGAAATACTAAACTAAAAAATTTTAATTCTAATGTCAAATCAGTACTATTGTATGGGGTGGAAACATGGAGAACAACGAAGGCAATTACTAATAAATTACAGACATTCATTACTGGTGCCTGCGCAGAATAGAGGGAATAAAATGGTATGATAGAATAACTAATGTAGAACTTTGGGAGAGAACTAAACAGGCTCCAGTGGATCAGGAGGTGAGGAAAAGACGCTGGCGTTGGACAGGGCACACACTGAGAAAACAGGAGAACAGCATAACGAGAATGTCTTTGCACTGGAACCCACAGGGGCATAGGAATAAAGGAAGGCCAAAAAACACATGGAGAAGAGAGCTGGAGAATGAGGTTAGAAAGATTGGGAGGACATGGGGAGAGCTCCATGTAATGGCGAAGGATAGAACGAATTGGCGTGAGTTGGTTGAGGGCCTATGCTCCATTGGGGGATAGAAAGGCAGAAGAAGAAGAAGAATATTTGTATATATTAGGCTACGATATATCTAAACAGATCGACCAGTTCCCTTACGCAGTATCTTTCCTTTCTAAAAATGTATAACCAAGATTTTTATTTAAATCGACCAGTTCTCTTAAGTTAAGCACCATCTTTCTTTTCCATTATTGTATAACCAAGATATATATATACATACATATATATATATATATATATATATATATATATATATATATATATATATATATATATATATATATATATATATATATATATATATATATATATATATATATATATATATATATATATATATATATATATATATATATATATATATATATATATATATATATATATATATAGAGAGAGAGAGAGAGAGAGAGAGAGAGAGAGAGAGAGAGAGAGAGAGAGAGAGAGAGACTACACAGTGGCGTAATCAGGACGCTTTACAATCAGCCTAATCGAGAAAATACTTCTTGATAAGGACTTGTCAAAACAGCTACCTCAAACAGCGTTCGCGGCTGAAACACCAAAAACACTGCAAACAAGTGAAACACCGCCAACAGCGTCAGAGGTGAAACACCACTATCCGCGTATACAGGTAAAACACCGCCAACAGCGTAGAGAGGTGAAACACCACCAACAGCGTACACAATTGAAACACCACCAACAGCGTAGAGAGGTTAAACACCACTAACAGCGTTCACGGGTGAAACAACACCAACAGCGTACACGGGTGAAACAACACCAACAGCGTACACAGGTGAAACACCACCAACAGCGTACATAGCTGAAGCACCACAAACAGAGTAAACAGCTGAAATACCACAAACGAACCGTACAAGCAAACTTACTCTTTATCCCTAACATCCGGAAGACTTCGATGTAGAGATATCATGTCACTGGCATATTGGTTGTAAGCATTTTTCTGCCAGCCCTCATCAAATTTAGCCCTCGCGGCTGGCCTCAGTTTCTCTTTGTCGATGTTGACACCTCGTCCGTTTTCACCTGTAATAAAAAAACAGAATAATCTGGTTATCGACGGAAGGATTTCTGGACATGTAGGTTATACATGTGGTCTTTTTTTTTCTTTGCGCCAAGTTCAATGGATTAATCGGTTTAGGTGCTGTTTATGGTAACCATGACGTTTACATTTAGTTACGCACTGCGCGCCGTTTTATTCATAAATTATTTTGTGGACACCACTGGCGATGTGCGATGTTGCAAAGCGGGGGTAAATTGTCGCAGCCAGCCAGGCAACCTATCAGTATGTCGAGTCACAGTTCGCTCAACACATACTGATGTCCCGCCAAAAAGACTCGCACACCCCTGTGACCCAGAAGAGTCCAAGAAGCTATCAATGAAAGGTCAACGTCACGGTTACCGTAAACAGCACCACAGTTTCTCAGCCAAGATCTGTGGCTTACTGTCCTTAGCTCTGTGATGGTGTGGCTCTGAGCACGATTGGGTCCTCCACTGCGGTCCAGACGAGGCTTCAGCTTTTCGTTTCTATTTTCCTGCTCTCTCGATGTAATTGTGTCGTGCCTTAATTTGGCTGTACCCTTTATGTTTCATGTAGTGTTTTTTTTTTTTTTCCTCCCTAGAGCAGCGGTTCTCTTTTTGGGTCGAACGACCCTGTCACAGTTTCATAGGGTCACCTAAGACCACTTGAAAACATATTCAAGTTTATAAAGAAAAATAATTGTCTGGGGGGTCGCCACAACATGAGGGAAAAGTCGCAGCATCAGGAAGGTTGAGAACCACTGCTGTAGGGGTATTATGTCCTGTCTTCTGTCCTTGAGATCTGGTCCTCATCATTTAAGTGCTTGTTGGGCGTCTGTCTTGTCTCCTCCTATTGTGGATTTACATCCACTGTTGGGTCTATTTAGATCCTATCCTCTGATGATCTCTATTAAAACAAATATGCCTCTAGTCTCATGTGCCCGCTGCTCCACTGCCGTGTAAAGGGACCTCTTTACTTTACTTACTCCATTGACCTCTGAGCGTTCCCGGCAAGTTACTCACAACTGACATACAAGATCTTTCTTTCTTTCTTTCTTTCTTTCTTTCTTTCTTTCTTTCTTTCTTTCTTTCTTTCTTTCTTTCTTTCTTTCTTTCTTTCTTTCTTTCTTTCTTTCTTTCTTTCTTTCTTTCTTTTCTTTCTTTTGAGAGGACTGACATCATTGCACCAGGTTTTTATCCCATATGGCTCAGTCTCTATCCGCAAAAAAGTTAGCTGCCTGCCGACAGCGTCGCACAGAGCACGACCTCCGTAGCACAGGCAACGATACCCATATATCTCCTTAAAAATTGCACTCGTGACATAAGCGGCGCTGCCGTGAAACGAACCCACGACCTTCAGAGCGGGATACAAACGGCTTGACCACTTCGCCACAAAGACCCCCAGATGATGATGCACAAGACCTCACTGCGAACTGCACTAACCCCTCTAACACCGATAGGCTTCCTAGAACTGAAATTGCAACTCAAACAAATGTCCCCAGGCCACCTCTTGGTCGGCTTCTAAAAGGGATCTAAGAATACACATCCTGCTCTTAAGCGGACCAACACCTGTGTATGCTCAACGTTCGGTCCACACGTAATGGGACCAGAGCAAAGACGGCAGTTAGATGTGGGCTGGAAACTGTCGGCCCTAAACCAACATGGCAACGGGGCCGAGGAAACAATCCAAGCCTGTCAATGTGAGCTGGAGAATTCACACTGTAATACTGAGGGAAAGTGCCGTCATTCCTTTGGCGATCAACAATGCACAGCTAGAAACAGGGCTTTAGTGTTATGTGATTTTTATAGAAAATGAGAACACCGTGGATAGATTTAAAAAAAAAAAAAACGTAATCAATCTGTCATGAGAGAGATTAAGAGACAAAGTACCATCCTTATACACGGATGTAGTTTTATGGAACAATGAGAAAACCTTCTGGGCATCTTTCCTTCTTTCAGACGATAGTGTTCCATTGTGCTATCAGCGGGCATGAGAATCACAATCCCGAGCGATACCCAATAAAGATAGGAACGAAGTTTCTCCTCTTCACAGCGCAAATCTATATTATTGTAGAGGTCACGTCTCACCTATACAGCACAATCCCGATCTCAGTTTGCCTTGTTAACTCTAAAAGAAATGAGAAAACCATGCACAGATATCTAGAGTCATGAAGATAGATGCCATGACAGAAACTGACTAACAAAGGAAGCTGATTACAAGTGGACAATCCATTTACTGTGGGCACTTTATGCCATGGCCAAAACTAAGAGACATTCGCGACAACATTACAGCTGGAAGGGAAGTGAGGCAAAAGGAGACCGAAAGAGAAGAGAATATATAGTTTGGCGCGGAGGAACATCTGTTTAAAACAAAGAGTGACTATAGGTGAGTGAAGGTTGTAAACAGAAATGATAACGAACGTTACGCAGCGTAGACTTTAACAAAACAAGCACTATGTATCCCAAAATGCCATGTAGTGTGGAAGTGATCACTTTCATTTTCCCTGAATTAATCATAATCAAAACAAAAGCACAAAAACAACAAAAGGGATCCACGGATGAACCAAGACCGGTCTTGGTTGAACAGCTATTCTATGACGCTTAGGGGTTGTGTCTCGAAACCCCCATCGAGACAGGGAGCTTGTTTTAAAAAAAGTATGAGCTTCCAGATCGACCTAGTCTTAGAAGGGCACTAGGATATGTACTGAGAAGTAAATATTGGTAAGTGTGATACTGACCCCAGCAGACATAGTCTTAGATGGGAACTAGGATATGTACTGAGAATATTGGTGAGTGTGATACTGACCACAGCAGACATAGTCTTAGATGGGAACTAGGATATGTACTGAGAATATTGGTGAGTGTGATACTGACCACAGCAGACATAGTCTTAGACGGGAACTAGGATATGTACTGAGAATATTGGTGAGTGTGATACTGACCACAGCAGACATAGTCTTAGATGGGAACTAGGATATGTACTGAGAAGTAAATATTGGTGAGTGTGATACTGACCACAGCAGACATAGTCTTAGATGGGAACTAGGATATGTACTGAGAAGTAAATATTGGTGAGTGTGATACTGACCACAGCAGACATAGTCTTAGATGGGAACTAGGATATGTACTGAGAATATTGGTGAGTGTGATACTGACCACAGCAGACATAGTCTTAGATGGGAACTAGGATATGTACTGAGAATACTGGTGAGTGTGATACTGACCACAGCAGACATAGTCTTAGATGGGAACTAGGATATGTACTGAGAATACTGGTGAGTGTGATACTGACCACAGCAGACATAGTCTTAGACGGGAACTAGGATATGTACTGAGAATACTGGTGAGTGTGATACTGACCACAGCAGACATAGTCTTAGATGGGAACTAGGATATGTACTGAGAATATTGGTGAGTGTGATACTGACCACAGCAGACATAGTCTTAGATGGGAACTAGGATATGTACTGAGAATATTGGTGAGAGTGATACTGACCACAGCAGACATAGTCTTAGATGGGAACTAGGATATGTACTGAGAATATTGGTGAGTGTGATACTGACCACAGCAGACTTAGTCTTAGACGGGAACTAGTATATGTACTGAGAAGTAAATATTGGTGAGTGTGATACTGACCACAGCAGACATAGTCTTAGATGGGAACTAGGATATGTACTGAGAATATTGGTGAGTGTGATACTGACCACAGCAGACATAGTCTTAGATGGGAACTAGGATATGTACTGAGAATATTGGTGAGTGTGATACTGACCACAGCAGACTTAGTCTTAGACGGGAACTAGTATATGTACTGAGAAGTAAATATTGGTGAGTGTGATACTGACCACAGCAGACATAGTCTTAGATGGGAACTAGGATATGTACTGAGAATATTGGTGAGTGTGATACTGACCACAGCAGACATAGTCTTAGATGGGAACTAGGATATGTACTGAGAATATTGGTGAGTGTGATACTGACCACAGCAGACATAGTCTTAGATGGGAACTAGTATATGTACTGAGAAGTAAATATTGGTGAGTGTGATACTGACCACAGCAGACATAGTCTTAGATGGGAACTAGGATATGTACTGAGAAGTAAATATTGGTGAGTGTGATACTGACCACAGCAGACATAGTCTTAGATGGGAACTAGGATATGTACTGAGAAGTAAATATTGGTGAGTGTGATACTGACCACAGCAGACATAGTCTTAGACGGGAACTAGGATATGTACTGAGAATACTGGTGAGTGTGATACTGACCACAGCAGACATAGTCTTAGATGGGAACTAGGATATGAACTGAGAATACTGGTGAGTGTGATACTGACCACAGCAGACATAGTCTTAGACGGGAACTAGGATATGTACTGAGAATACTGGTGAGTGTGATACTGACCACAGCAGACATAGTCTTAGATGGGAACTAGGATATGTACTGAGAATATTGGTGAGTGTGATACTGACCACAGCAGACATAGTCTTAGATGGGAACTAGGATATGTACTAAGAATATTGGTGAGTGTGATACTGACCACAGCAGACATAGTCTTAGATGGGAACTAGGATATGTACTGAGAATATTGGTGAGTGTGATACTGACCACAGCAGACTTAGTCTTAGACGGGAACTAGTATATGTACTGAGAAGTAAATATGGTGAGTGTGATACTGACCACAGCAGACATAGTCTTAGATGGGAACTAGGATATGTACTGAGAATATTGGTGAGTGTGATACTGACCACAGCAGACATAGTCTTAGATGGGAACTAGGATATGTACTGAGAATATTGGTGAGTGTGATACTGACCACAGCAGACTTAGTCTTAGACGGGAACTAGTATATGTACTGAGAAGTAAATATTGGTGAGTGTGATACTGACCACAGCAGACATAGTCTTAGATGGGAACTAGGATATGTACTGAGAAGTAAATATTGGTGAGTGTGATACTGACCACAGCAGACATAGTCTTAGATGGGAACTAGGATATGTACTGA